CTCACAGATGTTTATTTAAAGATTTGGATGGATGAATAAATGAGAGTGGATAGATGATAATCTCTATTAAATGCTAAATCTCTGAGTCACTCATTCAAACCATTTTTTAAAAGCCTCCATATAGTTTATTGAAATGTGGGATTTTGTTCATAATGATATTTCAAATACATGATCTTCTAAACTTACAAAATATCCAATTATAATTTATTTTGCTTTAATATATGAAAAGTTATATTGCCTTAAAAATGGAAAAGCAGCACAAAAATGGTTTTCTTAAATAACTTTACATGAAGAAAACATATGAAAAGAATAGTTAATTATGCATCAGTTCATAGTGCCTATGAGTATGATGGCCACCCTGGAATCACTGAATGAAAATATATCTCCTTTTAGTAATCGTTACTTGAATATGACTTAACAACCATAATAATTCAAGGGATATAAGACATTTTTATTTGTGTATTACCCAGTTTACCACCATCTCAACCCATCTACCCTGTAATACAATATCTCAGCCTCATGGTAGTCTCCTGTACATCTTCCTAAACAACAGTCCAAAAGCCTTTAAAATACTGGCTGAAATATAGATTTTTCTTAAATACAAATTTTTCACTCTTATTTTAAAAGGAAAAAAGGCTTGCTAACTGATGGGGTATAGGAAACTATGTAAGTGTATCAATGTTATCTAATTTAAGTTTTTCAGATAGTTTATATTTTATTCAAAAAGGATGTAGGAGAAAGATGAGAGTAATGGAGAAGAGCACAAGTGTTTTGGGAACTTAAAGTCTCAAAAATGGAAAATGAAATTAAGACAATTTATTTTGAATGACACGATTAGCTTATTATTTAAAAATTTTATAGATGTGTGTAAATCCATGTATCAATCTATATACATATAAGTATACGTGTATAGATATATGTGTGTGCATGTGTGTGTGCATCCTTCCTCTAAAATCAATACCACTCTTACATGTGTGATCTAGCCTAAATCCTCCAGTGGCTGAAGCAGAAACAATGTTCTCAGTGGTAAGCTAAAACATGGCTCTAAAGAATAGCTATGTATTTAGACTGGTGTCAGCAAAGTGAATCAATTTCTGTTTTGCTAGTGGACACTAGGATAAGTGTCTCATTTTTAACTTTTTTACAAGTTTTTAAATTTATATACGTGAACAAATTTCATGTATTTCATATATACTAGATTTAGGAGCATAGAGATACTTCTCACCCTACTCTCCCTCCCGCCCGTAATCCCACGCTCCCTCCTCCTTCATTTTTAATTCTTTCTTTTAACTTTTACAATGATATACTTTCAGCTTATTTTATAATCACAAGAATAACTAAGTAAAGAATTCAACAAATAGTAAGGAAAAGAAAGCAAAGCAACACTGTTCCTCAATAGTACAGACAAGGGCTGTAAAAAATAATCAATTCTCAAAATATCAACTTCACTCATATACATTACTCTATTAGTTACCACAAATCAGAGAAAACACAGTATTTGCCTTGTAAAAATCTAGGTGTATATCTTTTGCTCTTCATTCTTTTCTGACTGTGTTATTTACTGCCAGATACTTAGGGAAAAAAAGGTAGTTTTAATCACTATTCCATATGCTATCATCCAACACAAATTACAGAAAGACACTGTGAATTATCAATTAGCAAACATTTGTTGTTTAGCAAAAATTGTTGTTAACAATTTGTAAAGTTAAGGTAAACATACTAACATAATCAAATCAAAGGTGAGGTGAATGCCATCCCTGATGATAATTAATTTTATATTCTAGCAAGAATAATTGCATAATAATAAAACGTCTAGTAAAGTCATTATATAAAATTCCAATGCTTTAATAATCCAATTTCTATTAATAATCTAGTACTTAATTATCTCACATCTAGTAAGGAAATAATGAAATGTAAACAAATGACAAACAAACAGTGCGAGGTGACCAAGATAAAGTCAAGAAAAGCTTCCTAACACAGGGGTTTGGGGCCTGACGTCACACCCAGGACCAAGAGATTTAAGCATTCCAGTTCTCATGACAATATGTATGTTATTCCTAAAGTGGATGTGCAGGCGGTCATTTCTGTTGACTATAATTAGAACTCTAAGGACTAATTTGTCTCATATTATATACTCACAAGTAAATTATAGATTCACAATTTTTATTTCCAGGCACCCTTTTCTAAATGGAGCAAAAGCATTGACAGCAGATTCAAGAATTTGTAATCTCTTCTCTCAGCCATATTTCTCATTTTAATAAATTTGGAATTTGTACATTTTATATACTAGTCCTTTTTATGTTTGACTAGTGCATATCACATTGTAGCATTATTAGTCAATTGATAAATTACTTTTCTAAACTTAAAATGTTAAAAAATATAATAATGACACCTTTCCCTAAAAAATAAAAACACAATACTATGTTTTTGTTAAAAGTTCGTATGTATGTGTAGCTTACTAGAAAGCACTGCAATTCTAAAGACAAAGCCTGGGTACTGGTCTTACCCCTCATTTATTAGCTGTATGATTTCAGGCAGAAGAACCTTACACTGAAAAATGGCAAACTACCTTATGACCTATCTCAAAAGGTCATTATTAACATAAATAAACAGCCAATGAGATAGCATTATTACCATATTAGCAACCTGCAAATAGCCCTTGCCAAATAGTCTGTTGGTGAAAATCTCATAATCAAAACCACAAGATATAGAAAAAAATCAATTATTGTGATAAAGAAAGGCTAATTTCTATATTCTGTATCATGCCTCCCTTACTGCCAATGTAGAGAAATGAAATTTGCATTTGTTCACCACTATAAGAATTCTCATTTCAGAGGTTGCAGAAAAATCTGGTTCAAAACTGTGATTGTTCTTAGCATACAGCTACATAAACTTTGAAATGGGATCAGAAAGGAGTTTCTAATACAACATAAACATTTATTTTGAAAGACACCAAAATAATTACAAAATAAAAGGTGACATTAACACTCCCCATGAAAGAATACTTAATGCTTAGTATTTCCAAATCTGTAGTTAACATAAAATAATTGACAGGCTCCTCTTTGCTAGGGAAACTAGATCAATCTGATTAATTGGCACGAGTTATGGTTCCTGCATTTTCAGCTGAGTGACATATGGGAACATACAGAAACATATTTTGTACCATGTACTGAGGTTTCTTCTTCATTCTTGGTATAAAGAGGCAATAGATTTCTGTTTTACTGATATGCAGATGTACCTCCTACATGCCTCTACATAAGCCCTCAAAGGAATGGTAACCTCTATCTGTTTACTTGTGTTTACCCTCCAGACTGAAAGCTTACTTAGTGACTCCAACTAAGCCATCTTTTCCCTCTCTAGTTATCAGTGAAATAACTGGCATATAGAAGGTGTTCAATAAGTGTTATCAGAATAAATTAAAGAATAAACCACAGATATAATACTAGATTAACTTTTTTCTTGAAGTCTAATGTGTCTTTGAAACATCCTTAAATTTAATATCTGGATTTTGGTAACACAGCAAATGCAAATTCTGTGTAAATAATAGACTGATGTGAGTCACAGCACTAAATTTATTGAAAATAGGATTTAATTGAATTGAGCTACTTACATTTCATGCAAAAAGATACATATGTAAACTTTTTAGTAAAATTGATTTACCAGCTGATTTAAAACATTTCTTGAGCATCTACTGCATTCTAATTAGCATGCCCAGGAGCTGGGGATGCAAAGTCAAGCAAACCTGATGTTTTCCAGGAGATTAATGCCTGGTGAAGGAAAGAATCAGAGAAACATTCCAACATAGAGAGTAGTGCACTGGGGTCATGGGGCAACTGTGGAGTAACAGCTAAGTGCAGCTACAGGGAGAGATTATACAAAGGCTTCCCAGAAGGGAGGTGGTTGAACTGAAGTTTGAAAAAGAGTTAATTCAAAACAAGGAAATATGACTTGCGGGCAGCAAGAACAAAGTGAGGCACCCATAGCTCTGCCAACATAGAAAGTTGCATGTAAAGAAATGGCAAAAGGTGAAGATGAACATTTCAGGTGGGGCTGTGTGGGAAGGACCAGATTGCAGGGGGCTCGATAAAATAAAGAGGATTGAACAGGCAAATGCAGTAAAAAAAAAACACTGTGATAGATTCTATCCTCCATTGGCTCAGAATCTACTGAACACAAATTCAAACTAATGGTGGGGTTAGATGTTTTGTGCAAAAGTCAAGACAGCACTTGGGACTACGTGAGTGTTTCGCTGATGCTTATTAATTTTTTATTGTTAGTGACTAATGGAATATAAATTATTCTCAAAGATAAATAAAACAGTCAAACATTAACGTGAACCTTAGTTAAGAATAATAATGCACAGGTATATCTACAGCAAAGTAGATATAATCTCTTTCAAACAATGCAAAACTCAAGTCCCTATATAAAGGAGTCTGCCAAGAAAAGTACATACTCAAATGGGACACTCAGCTACATACCATTACTTTTAGCTCATTTAACAAGCATTTTATAATTTTGCCTGCAATGCTGTACTCGGGGAACTTGAGAAACAGTATTCTAATTCATTTGATTGTAATACAAGATCATTATTTATTTATACTATTCTTTCCTCTCTCAGAAGAAATAAATGCATCATCATTCAAAGGTTGTTTTCCATTTATCCCTGTGACTAATTTTCAAGAAGAATGAAAACATACTGAGAATAATTATAAGGTGTAAACAAGTAAATATTTTAAAATTTCTGGACGCACATACTTAATGAAATTTCAGGCGTCTAAAGATTAAATTTCTCAGTCTGTCCAAGGTCTGGGCCAAGAACTACCAAGGATGGTCAAAACAAGGATAAAGTTGTTAAAACATATTGAAGTAACTGTAAACCCTAAAAGCCCCATGTGTATTATTTATACATGGAATAATTATAATTAATTGATATTATGTTTTTTCCTTTGTACTAATTATTTTTCTCTTTTTTCTTTTATACTTTATTTCATTACATTTAGCATAATGCTGCTATTCCTGCAAGTACTGAACAAGCATGGGATTCGAATATTATACATCTAAATAAATGAATTTCTCAGTCTCTTATGACCATCTATACATACTCCATCTTCCAAAAGTACATCAGTATCATATCATTAAGGAGACATTGACCTTCTTTTCTCCAATATGCATGACATTTTTGGACAATGCAATTGTGGCACTGGCATTTATTTCCATGAAGAAAAACTCTATAGTTCTATGGCATTCATCATTTGACAAATCCAGCATTTCCTTTATCAACCAGCACTTACTGAACTTACCAGCAGTGACTGTGGAATCCTTAACGGCCCATTAAATATCTGAAGAAAAAAGCTAAGATGAAGGACATGCCACTCCGAATTCATGTGCTACTTGGCCTAGCTATCACTACACTAGTACACGCTGTAGACAAAAAAGTGGATTGCCCACAGTTATGTACGTGTGAAATCAGGCCTTGGTTTACACCCAGATCCATTTATATGGAAGCATCCACAGTGGATTGTAATGATTTAGGTCTTTTAAACTTCCCAGCCAGATTGCCTGCCGACACACAGATTCTGCTCCTACAGACTAACAATATTGCAAAAATTGACTATTCCATAGACTTTCCAGTAAACCTTACTGGCCTGGACTTATCTCAAAACAATTTATCTTCAGTCACCAACATTAATGTAAAAAAGATGTCTCAGCTCCTTTCTGTGTACCTAGAAGAAAACAAACTTACTGAGCTGCCTGAAAAATGTCTGTCTGGACTAAGCAACTTACAAGAACTCTACATTAATCACAACTTGCTTTCTACAATTTCACCCGGAGCCTTTATTGGCCTACATAATCTTCTTCGGCTTCATCTCAATTCAAATAGACTGCAGATGATCAACAGTAAGTGGTTTGATGCTCTTCCAAATCTAGAGATTCTGATGATTGGGGAAAATCCAATCATCAGAATCAAAGACATGAACTTTAAGCCTCTTATCAATCTTCGCAGCCTGGTTATAGCTGGTATAAACCTCACAGAAATACCAGATAATGCCTTGGTTGGCCTTGAAAACTTAGAAAGCATCTCTTTCTATGACAACAGGCTTATTAAAGTGCCCCATGTTGCTCTTCAAAAAGTTGTTAACCTCAAATTTTTGGATTTAAATAAAAATCCTATTAAAAGAATACGAAGGGGTGACTTCAGCAACATGCTACACTTAAAGGAGCTGGGGATAAATAACATGCCTGAGCTGATTTCCATCGACAGTCTTGCTGTGGATAACTTGCCAGATTTAAGGAAAATAGAAGCTACAAACAATCCCAGATTATCTTACATTCACCCCAATGCATTTTTCAGACTCCCTAAACTGGAATCGCTCATGCTGAACAGCAATGCCCTCAGTGCCCTGTATCATGGTACAATTGAGTCTCTGCCAAATCTTAAAGAAATCAGCATACACAGCAACCCCATCAGGTGTGACTGTGTCATCCGTTGGATTAATATGAACAAAACCAACATTAGATTTATGGAGCCAGATTCACTGTTTTGTGTGGACCCACCTGAATTCCAAGGCCAGAATGTTAGGCAAGTGCACTTCAGGGACATGATGGAAATCTGCCTCCCTCTTATAGCTCCTGAGAGCTTTCCTTCTAATCTGGATGTAGAAGCTAAGAGCTATGTTTCCTTACACTGCAGAGCTACTGCAGAGCCACAGCCTGAAATCTACTGGATAACACCATCTGGTCAAAAACTCTTACCTAATACTCTAATAGACAAGTTCTATGTCCATTCGGAAGGCACACTAGATATAAGTGGCATAACCCCAAAAGAAGGGGGTTTATATACTTGTATAGCAACTAACCTAGTTGGTGCTGACTTGAAGTCTGTTATGATCAAAGTGGATGGTTCTCTTCCCCAGGATAACAATGGATCTTTGAACATTAAAATAAGAGATATTCAGGCCAATTCAGTTCTGGTGTCTTGGAAAACAAGTTCTAAAATTCTCAAATCCAGTGTGAAGTGGACAGCTTTTGTCAAGACTGAAAATTCTCATGCTGCTCAAAGTGCTCGAATACCATCAGATGTCAAGGTTTATAACCTTACCCATCTGAACCCATCAACTGAGTATAAAATTTGCATTGATATTCCCACCATCTACCAGAAAAGCAGAAAACAATGTGTAAATGTCACAACAAAAGGTTTGGATCCAGATCGAAAACAGTATGGAAAGAGTAACTCCACAACGTTCATGGCCTGCCTTGGAGGCCTCCTCGGGATTGTTGGTGTGATCTGTCTGTTCAGCTGCCTCTCTCAAGAAACGAACTGTGATGGTGGACATAGCTATGTGGGGAATTACTTACAGAATCCAACCTTTGCATTCAGTGAGCTTTATCCTCCTCTGATAAACCTCTGGGAAGCAGGTAAAGAAAAAAGTACATCACTGGAAGTGAAAGCAACTGTCATAGGAGTGCCAACAAATATGTCCTAAAACAAGAACCAATAAAATGACTTTGAAGAAACGCTCAAGACTTGCAGTTGTGCTTAACAAAGAAAGGCAGAGAAATATTACTTTCTAAAATGATGGTTTAAGCTTCACCAATGCTGCTCCTGACCAATGGAAATATGTACAAGTTCAGCATTTTAAGTAACTGGCTTCAAAGGGTACTGTGGCAACCAAATAAAATAATTCCATTTTCTAGAACTTTCACGTAACTTTTATGTCTGGACTACAGTTAAAGTGGACAAAAACATTTCTGTATTTTTTTTAAGTATATAAGAGTAGTTGAACTGAGCAATACCTCCTCCTGTGTTGTATTACACATATTAGCCACGAGTTTTTGCAGTGACCAGATAAACTTGAATTGACACGTGGTGTAACAAAAAGGACAGATTCTGTAGAGTAGACACAGTGAGTATGTGGACCTCTTTTATAAGGAAAAATACATTTTGGATTAAAATCAATTGCTTTTGTCTTGTTTTTGTTTCTAAATAAAGAGTAATTTCTGGGAAATATCATCTGATCAGATATCATTTAAATGACAGCATTTTCCAAAAGTGGTGTTCCATAATGAAATTTAGAATGCTAACAGTAATACACTTTTATTGGGTTATGAAACTACATTTTTATGATTTCCAAAAATTGATTTTAGAAAGAATTTTACTAGTGTTAAAAGTTAATAATAATAGTATATTTAACACTGTAACACTTTAACACATTAGAACTAGCAAGAGAAATAAAACCTTCAGGAAATTATGTATTCACATAAAGATTTTTTTTCCTTAACAAACAACTTTTGGAGTGGATTAATTTATTATGTTCAGTTAATATAAATCCAATATCTGAGCAACTGAAAGTCTTACTTTAAGCAGCTAAGTTTTAGACTACTTGCTTTGCAGAAAATATTGCCAAATATTGGTAGGACTTATGATCTAGGTATAAATTTCATATATCTCCAATGCTAAACATTTAATAAGCTTCACTCAAATAGCAATGAAATAATGTAATTTTCTACGCTGCAAACATAGCAAGGAAACATCTCTTGTTCCAATAGTAGTAATTTAGAAATTCACTAAAAAGAAGCCAGCACTGTGGCATAGTGCATAAAGCTACTGCCTGGAGTGTTGGCATCCCATATGGGTGCTAGTTCCAGTCCTGGCTACTCCACTCCAATCTAGCTCCCTGCTAGTGCACCTGGAAATGCAGTATAAGATGTGCTTTGGCCACTGAACCCATTTGGGAGACCTGGAGGAAGCTAGTGGCTTCTGGCTTCAGATCAGCTCAGCTCTGGCCATTGTTACCATTTGGGGAGTGAACCAGCAGATGGAAGCGCTCTCTCTCTCTCTCTCTCTCTTCTGTCTCTCCTTCTCTCTCAATAATTCTGCCTTTCATACAAATAAATAAATCTTATAAATTAAAGAAATTCACTAAAAATATATTTGGTTACTAGTAAAAGTTCATCAAGTATAATTCAGTGGAATTCTCCCTTTTATATAATTCATCCCAATATACAAATTGCATAACTCAGTTAGTTCCAGAGTTCACTAAAAAGTTAGGAGGATAGTTTTCTTAACTAAAGGAAAAGTTGCTGAAACTAATTTAAAGTCAAAGAAATGAAAAAAAAAAGAAGTGCAGTCCTCTAAGACTATATTTAAAGTGAATAAAAACCACAGTTGAAAATACTGCAGATCATTGAATTGAAGTGCCAAGAACATTACAAGTTATTTAAAAATCTTATATAGGAAATGTGAGGATATCACTTGGAATAACAACTAAGATCTTTGAGAGTTTCAATCATTTGTTAGTAACAAAAAGTCCACAGTTCTGCAAAAATAAATTTATTTTTGTAAAAAGGAAGTATCTTGAAATAATAAAAAGCAATCTGTGATAATAAGCCATAGTTTCTATAGGCAAGTTATTTATTTCTATAAAGCTACAAGGCCTACATGTTAATTGCTATTGTGCATACTGATAATCAAGTATTTAACTTTCCTTACAATAGCGTTCTTCATATTATTAACATGTCACTGCTCTGTGAACATGTCCAGCACTGTAGTCATATCAATGTATTACTATCAGACATTTCATTTGTGACAGCATTGACAGTTTCTAATTAAACCCTAGCTGTTTTTGACAACGTGGAAGGTAATTGTTATGAATTCTTTAAGAGGAAAGGACAAACTGTGTTAATTTTAACAGCACCACAGTATGGAACTTGCTAATTCAATGTGGTTCCCAAGCACAAATTTTACAACCTGATGAATCACTATCACACAGAGGCTGACATTAGAATTTATCAGCAAGACATGGCTCATACATCACGAGAGGTTTCAGCACCATGGACAGAGCTTTTTAAAAGCTCAGCTATTTGTCACAAATATAAGAACTGAAATATGGCCTATTAGGATGCAGGTATTGTATAAGTCAGCAAGAACTTGAGCAGATATCTTGTATGCTTCCTGTAAAATTATCTGCCTGAAGAGACCCTAATATGAAAATCCAAGAGATGAGGATCTACTTTAAGCTGCAAATTTCTTTTGAAAATTTTTATAAGAATTCTGAATAAACATTTAGAAATAAGCACTGAAATAAAGTATTTTTGTTAAAGTCAAATAAATGCAGATGCTCAAAGCAAATCATTATCCCATTGATTTCCTTAAATTTTAATCCAAATTGCCCATGAGAATGTAAAGACATTTGCTTCTTAAAAGAATGGTGTTTCATACTCCCTATGTTACTTCTTAAAATTCACACACACAAAAAAATAACTAAGCACTTGCCAAACTATTCAAAGAACATACTTCACAATTTTGTGATACCATATGGATGACCCTGTTGCAATAAAGGACCTTATCTAAAACAAATAAAACACCATGGGGCTGGCTCCATGGCTCACTTGGTTAATCCTCCACCTGCAGTGCCGGCATCCCGTATGGTTCTAGTCCCAGTTGCTCCTCTTCCAGTCCAGCTCTCTGCTGTGGCCCAGGAAGGCAGTGGAGGATGGCTCAAGTGCTTGTGCCCCTGCACCCACATGGAAGACCAGGAGGAAGCACCTGACTCCTGGCTTTGGATTGGCGTAGCTCCGGCTGTAGCAGCCATTTGTGGGGTGAACCAACAGAAGGAAGACCTTTCTCTCTGTCTCTGTCTCTTTCACTGTCTATAACTCTGTCAAATAAAAAAGTATAAAAAAACAAATAAAACTCCTGAAGTTTATTACCTCTATGCATGCTAACTGACCTGCTCACCTTGTATAGAGGAAAATGACTTTTCACAAAAGTGAGTATAAATTAATTAAATTTGCAATGTATAATGCAAAATAAAATTCAGATTTTCTTGAAATATGCATTCTCAGTTGAACCAAAAATACTGTCAGTACCACTTAGTGACATTTTAGTCAATGCTTTGCCACATGTACAATGGTGGTCCCGCATGATCATAGTAATGCAGAAAAATTCCTATTGCCTAGACACTTCCTGGATGTTCTAACATCACAACACAACAGATTATTCAAGTGTAGTGGTGGTGCTGGGGTAAGCGAACCTATCATGCTGCCAGATGATGAAAGTATAGCAGTTCAATTACACATGCTACAATTATCATTAATAATGATAATAAATAATTATGTTACTGGCTTTGGTAGTTACTATATTCTACCCTTATCATTATTTTAGATTGTACTCCTACTCATAAAACAAATTTAGTGTGAAACAGTATGCCATGCTATGTAGGCAGCACCCTTATACAACTTGTGTTTACATCATCTTCTTTGCAATAAGAGATCACAACAGTTGGCTGACCACTACCCTACAGGTTTCTGTAGGCACACTGTACATTGTTCACACAGTGACAAAATCATCTAGCAACACATTTATTAGAACATATCCTCTTTGTTAAGTGATACATGACTTTAAAACAAAACAGTATAGAGTAAGACATGCAACTGTCAACAAAGCCAAAGAGCAACATGCTGTCAGTAATATGCCTAGAAAGAACAACATACACATACAGTGTTTAATATTTATTTCAGCACTTACATTTTTATTCTAACTAGATAGAAATTTTTTAATCAAAACTACATATGAATGAACATCAAATTAAAATAATTTTTTATTTTCTTTTTAATTTTTGACAGGCAGAGTGGACAGTGAGAGAGAGACAGACAGAAAGGTCTTCCTTTGCCGTTGGTTCACCCTCCAATGGCCACCGCGGCCGGTGCGCTACAGCCGGCATATCGCGCTGATCCGAAGCCAGGAGCCAGGTGCTTCTCCTGGTCTCCCATGCGGGTGCAGGGCCCAAGGACTTGGGCCATCCTCCACTGCACTCCCTGGCCACAGCAGAGAGCTGGCCTGGAAGAGGGGCAACTGGGACAGAATCCGGCGCCCTGACCAGGACTAGAACCCGGTGTGCCGGCGCTGCAAGGCGGAGGATTAGCCTATTGAGCCACGGCGCCGGCTCTAAAATAATTTTTAGTATAATTCTTTGACTACCTTTAATTTTGTTTATATCCAAGGCAGACTTATTGTATGGCTTTTAGTCACTGGAAAAAATAGCAGTGAACAGGACGGATTCCTCACCATCTAGGGACTTACATGCTAGTGGATTATATTTTTGCTTATTTTCTTATTAAATGTTTTCATGAATATGGCTTAGTTATTTTACATTGCAAAGATACACTTTTAATCCACATGTTCACAGAATGATAATACTATGAAATTTTTTTCTTGGTTCCAAATGTTTTACTTATGACACTATGTTGATATGGAACTTGGTTCAAATTTATTATTGGTCTTCTCCACTATATCTACAGAAACTAGTCTAACACTATCCTTAGACTGCTTTAGTTAAGTGGCACATTTACTTATCACAAATTCTTTCTAGGTTATAAAAACATGGATAACTGCCACATTTTCCCTATTGTATACTCAGAGAGATTGGTCACTCAAGAAAATGAGGCGTCAGCTTCAAGAAGGTAAAGTGGCTCTGAAGAACACTTTATGTGTTTATAAAAAGGAAAACATATGTACTTTACTCATGATAACTCTTATAAGATCTTCTAATAACTATGTAGAAAAATACTTAAACTTCTATGGACTAGTTGTTTAGATGAAAAATCACAAATATTGTGTCAGAAAATAATAAAGTAAAGAATACAAACAACTGAGTTTAAAATTACATATGTACAGGGGCTGGTGTTGTGGTACAATGTTTTAATCCACCACTTGAGACACCAGCATACAAGAGTGCATGTTAAAGTCCAGGCTGTTTCACTTCTGACCCTGTTCCCTGCTAATGTACCTGGTGAAGCAGTGAAAGATGGCACAAGTCCTTGAGCCCTTGCCACACATGTGGGAGACCTGGATGGAATTACAGGCTCCTGGTTTCGGCCTGGCCCAGCCCCGGTTTTTGCAGTCATTTAGTGAGTGAACCAGCAGATGGAATATCTCTCCCTATTTCTCTGTTTCTCTGTCAATCTGCCTTACAAATAAATAAATCTAGGGGAAAAAATAAAACTATGCAT